CTTCTAGTTGAAAAAAACAAATACAAAAGGCTAGATACATGATTAGAAAGACTTTGCATTATCGATCTTCTACTGTAATTAGTCTGTTGCTGGCCTTTTTATACCTCACTTTTCACAGTATGTTTTGAGTTAACTACTATCCACTGTTTTTGCTGGAAACTCACTCACTTTAGCCACCTTCACCTGATTTCTCTCTTTGGTTATGTAGCTCTCATTGGGTAGGATTTTGGTAGCATAAAGAACAACAACTAAACTAGCAAAGCAACTTTAAGTTTGAGTTTTTGCCTGCTCCCCATTTCGATGAAGCCTACACCAGTACTGTTATCATTAATCAATTAACCTGGCATGCTGGAAGTGGACTCTGTAATTTCTCTACCACCTTTAAATTATTTTTTTGTTAAAGAATAGACATTGCCTTGTGATTCTCATATCCTGTCGGACAACTTTTGTAAAGCTATTTTGCCACTGATAAAATATAAATCAAAAGAAGCTTGAAAGCACCTTCCCCAGGACGGCCATTTCAGCCTAAGGGCATAACAGGGAACTCCACCATGTCAACGGCAAAGCAAGACTAAGAATGTAAATATCGGATAAGAAATATTTGGTACTTGTACAGGGATGAAGAAGCCAAGTTTGCTTTTGCCATTGCTAAGTCAAATACCTAATTGCTATTCATTCATCATGGTTCAAGTTAGCATCCTATTCCACATATGCCGTGCACCCTTAATTAAGGTGTTGAAAACAGTGGAGAACTCTAGGCAATTACCTCCTGCAACTTCTAGCCAAGTCATTTATACGGAGTGGATGACATAGCTTAAGGTTAAAAGTCTAGATCGGCGTGCCAAAGGGCTTCAGTTCAAAGTAGCATAAAATTGGAAAATTTATGCAATCAAGATAAGGTTAGGTTATTAGCTGGTGGCCATCTCCATTTGTTCAATTAGGCCATGTGTGTCATTGGTCAATATATAACTGAAAAGAAAATTATTAATATCTTAATGATAATGTAGATTTTGGAAAAGCTGGGTATGTCACTTGTCACCCAAACACCTCAACCATCCTATTTTTGTCTTTTATCTTTTGTTGACACCAAAACAAGATCATACTCTTTATTTGCAAACTAAAGTAAAACAATAGCGAAATCCAGTAGTTGTAGAACAACAATAACAGATAATAAGACACTATAGTTCTGAACAAGGCCCTGATTAGATCAATCTATAAAAATGAATCAAGTTTTATTCAAGCACAGAATATCACTCCATGAGATCAATATCTATATAATAAAATGAATGAAGTCTCTCTGGAATACACTACAAAGTCTGACATGACATATATAATATCACATAGAAATAGGCAAAGGTGGTTAACAGATTTAGCATAAGAAAACTAGAGCAATGGACATCAAGACAAGAGAGAGGGCGGCACCAAGGGATGAAGCTGAGCTGGGAGGACTGGTAGTGCCGGAGGGGGTGGTGGGGCTTGATCCAGGTGTGGGAGCAGTGGTGCTACTGTGGACTTCGACCTTGAGCTTTTGGCCCCTAGAACAGTGATTAGCGATGGTGCAGATGAAGTAGTGATCACCAGTCGTGTTAAGTCTAATTCTTGCCGGTCCGGTAGTCTCAGTGAAGTTGGGATTGGTAGTGGTGCAGGCGTCGTAAGCAGTTTCTGTCACCCCGGCAACATCATGTTGCCCTGTAGTAAAATTGAACACTGCAAAAAATAGAACAGTCAACTCGTCACAAAAACTTAAGCATATAAACTCCGGAACCTCTCTGACCAGGCATAATTCTCCGGAGAAACCAAAACAGAAGCATCTATGTAGCCGATCAAGTTCCTATTTCAATTTAAAGGCTTAATTAAGGTGGCTTTTGAGCTGAGAAACTCACCTAGAGTATCACCAACCACGAAGTTTATGTTGTCAGTCCAGTTATCATAGAAATCAGTGTTAGATGGGACACCCCAACCCGAGGAGTTTCCTACCGTGTAATTTGCAGCATACGTGCTCTGCAACACGACTGCAGCCAAAACTACAAAAAGTGCTGCGATGCTGATTTTCCTAGCCATTTTTCTTTCTGTATTTGATGTGTTCTCTGGTTACAGTCGCCCCTAGATCTCTGTCTCTCTCTGGTTCTGTAGTGTGTGCTGTTTATATCCTTCTCTTCCTTCTGTAAGAGTATATATAGTGGAGAGTGAAAACTTTCTCCGAAGTTGTTGAAGAAGCTTTGAGTGAATTAATTAGGAGCCATGTGTGAAGAATCGCTACATTGTTTAGTGATTTACCGTTGTGGGGGCAGTTGTTGAATGCCATCCACATCCACAAACCTAGTCAATGCAGCGAAGTGGTCCATATTCACATGCTTGACCACTACAATTTTTTTTTAAGAAAAAGAAAAGGATCTGCTAGATCGTGGAAACATCGCCACCGTCCTTTGATGTTTGAACTTTCAACCCTGGAAGCGAATTGGATGAAGTTGAACAATATGTTGACTATTTCCTACACAATTGGTTTACAGCACTCCGACATGGATTTAAAGATAGAAATCATGAATTTACAATTGGCCAAAACCAAGTCTATCAATGGATTGGATTCCTCGTTTCTTTCAAAGTAACATTTTCTTAGGGGTTAAAAGAAGAAATTTGAGTTTCATCAGTTTCCTAAACCTTTAAAGCCGATCAACAAAGCCTTATGAGGTTCTAATTCAATCTTATCAGTAGTTTTCCCCATCTTCTCATTTCCAGCAACCTTAAAGTGCCGCAAATGCTTGGCTCCATGGATTGGTTGGAGCTCCAATATTCCTTGAAGAAACAGAAATCAAAGTATCGACTCCATTGCACTGCCGAGAATATGTCAATGGGGCCTCAAGGACATTTGTCCTTTTGATTTTGATTTTAAAGACATACGTTTTCAAGCTGCCCTCTGCTTTACGATTTTCATTTCCAATTGCTTCTCTTGTTTTCCATTTTTTATTTTTAAATCATTCAACTAAAAAAAATTACTAATTAATATTAGTAGTCCATGGAATGACGAATTTCGTTATATTTTATATTAAGAGACGTTGCTTATTTAAACAGAACAGAGATTTCTCCGAAGACAAATCCTCCTAAATGACTTTAAAATGTGGGAAAAGAAAAGAAAAGTAAAAAAAAAAAAAAACCCCTTAGGCTCTTATCAATTGCTTATTATGCACTCAATCATGTTGATGAAATGAGACCCAAATTTTCAGGACAATTATTTTAGAGATTGCCAGGTATTCTTTGATATTGAATTTAATAACAATTGAGTATGCTGAATTTGGACGCTGTCAAATTCCTTTGAACCGGAGGCGGTCGGCCATGCAATTTAGAATTGTTGATCTAATTAGACTCTTACTACTATTTCAAGGGCTTCCCGCTCTTTTCATCATAATTGCAATATTTTAATTTATTGAAAGGGAGATCAACTATCGAACTAATTTTAGAAAATCTTCCACTTCCCTTCTGAAATAAAGTAAAAAAAAAAGTTAGGATCTGCTTT